GAGAAGAAAGGCTTGACCAAGCAGGAGTTGGATGAGGCGGCCATCACCATGGGCGTGCAGCCGGGAAACTTCGGACAGGGCTAGTCTAGGGGCCTTAATGATTACCTATACCATTTTGGGGGGTTCCTTTCTATACTTATAGTGCAACATACCCCAAAACCTTATTCTAATTCCCTAAACCCGAAACCCTAAACCCTAAACCCTAAACACCCCAAAACCCTATTCTAATTATGAAGGCCCCTACGTTCGTAGTGGCCTTCCTCGGCTAAGCCCGAGGGTTGGTCTGCAATCGGTTCGTTTTTCCACAGGACTGGGTTCTTGACCAAAGGGTTCCTAATTTAAGATACCAGAGTAGGGTTTAGGGCTTAGGGTTTAGGGTTTAGGGTTCCATATTAATTAGGGATCTGCAGTAAATAATAGGGCGATCTTTATTATGGTAACCCTACACCCTTAAACCCTAAACACTAATCCCTTGTCATGGTAACTTAAATTGAATCCCTTAGCAAGAACCTAAACCTAAACCCTAAACACTAATAAATTAAATCGCTTAATCACTTCCCCTTTTATTCAACCCACCCTAATATTAAAAACACATTGGGCCGAATCCTCCCGAACTCATCCCTGCCCTTTAAACCCCTATTCTGAATTAGGGGGAGGGTTTCGCGGCTCCAAATACCCTCGAGCACAGTAAAAGCACAAGAGCAAGAGAAGGAGTTAGAGCAAGAGCAGGAGCAAGAGCAAAAGCGGGAGCATCAGCAAGAGCAAAGCAGAAGCAGGCAAAGCAGAAGCAAGAGCAAGAGCAAGAGCAAAAGCGGGAGCAATAACAAGAGCAGCAGCAAGAGCAAAGCAAAAGCAAGGGCAGAAGCAAAAGCGGGAGCAACAGCCAGAGCAGGAGCAGGCGCAAGAGACCGGGAGCAAGAGCCGGAGCAGGAGCAAGAGCACGACCCCTCAAAAGTGGCAGTAGCGATAAACATACCGTCTAATAGTGAAAATGCTTTCCGAGTTTTTGCTGCGGGGCCCCCCTTTGACACTGGGGGAAACGACACCCTAAACCCTAAACCCTCAACCTTAAATCCAAAACCCTAAAACCCTAAAACCCTAAAACCCTAAAACCCTAAACCCCAAACCCTAAACCCTAAACCCTAAACCCTAAACCCTAAACAAGAACCCAGAGCAGGAACTCCGAAGTTCGCTTGTCTCGACTTCGGCTCCGAGCGAATCTGTCTAATGGTAGCAGGGAGGAGAAGAAGAGTTCGTGGTTTTGGGTTTTTGGGTTTTTGGGTTTAGGGTTTAGGGTTGAGGGTTAAGGGTTTGAGGGTTTGAGGGTTTGAGGGTTTGAGGGTTTGAGGGTTTGAGTTTGAGGGTTGAGGGTTTAGGGTTTAGGGTTTAGGGTCTAAGGTTTAGCATTTAGGGTTTAGGGTGCTCTTGGTTCCCCAGTATATAGTACCTTTTTGCCTTTATTTTTCTTTAGCCTCCCTTATCAAAACCCAATACTAGAGAAAAGGGGACCCTTCTTATTAGGGGACTGCTGGGGAACCTCGAGCTAGTGAACCCTAAACCCTAAACCCTAAACCCTAAACCCTGGTGTTGAGGATTTCGGATCAGCGGCCCATGCGCTGAGCCGTGTAAGATGGCGGAGAGCTGCTCGAGGGACCAAAGGAGGGACCCTTAAAGGGACCCTTGGGGTTATGTAGGGGCTTTCTGAGACTATATAAGGGGTATATAAGGGTTATAGAGGGTATTAGGATTAGGTGATTAGGGGTCCCTTCTAGGGGTCCCTCCTATTGTCCCTTAATCTGCAGGATCACTTTGTCGCACCCTTCAGCTTGTATCGTTTGCATCACAATGCATAATTAGTGGCAGTCAAGGTAGTAGTCTCAGTAGTAGCAGTAGCAAACTGTAGTAGTAGACTGCAGCAGGATGTAGGAGAATGTTGCAATGTAGTAGCAGTAGCAGTAGTACTGAAAGGGGTTGTTCTGGAAGCAGTGGCGTTGATGTCGCACGTGCGAACATTAAGCAGCAGTTGCATAGTGACTATAGTGTACCCCCCAACCCTATTCTAATGATGAAGGCCCTTAATTATGTTTTACGGAGCATCCGCGACCCCTTTAGCCTTCCTGGAGCGTTGGTCCGGAATCCGTAGACTCTGGCTCAAGGTTAGGGCTCAAGTTCAACATGGCGGAAGCATCCGAAGCGAAAAAGCCGCTAGTGGACCCGAAGGACGACGGGGATGTGAAGGAGGAGTCAGAGGCGGCAGAGCCGGCCAAGGCAAAGGCGACGCCGGCAGAGCCAGCGGAGCCCGAGGAGCCGGCGGAGCTTCCGAAAAAAACCGTTTGGGACACCTTCAGGGGTGGTATCACCTCCACCCCTGTCCTGATCTTGGTTTTGGCCATTGGAGCAAACGTCTACAGCCGCCGTGACGAATTGGAGAAAGATGGTCAAATTTGGTGGCTCGTCCCGATCATGCTGGTGCTTTCCATGGTCTTGGGTTCCGTGTTGGTCACAAAGATAGAGAACTCCGAGTGGAGACGGAACTTGAGAAAGGAGGTCGCGGCTGAGGAGCGCAAGTTCATGGAGAAGAAAGGCTTGACCAAGCAGGA